AAAGTTGGACTTGCCGGAAAGCCAATGCAAATGATTAGTTCAAAACACATTTTCGGCTAACCGGCATCGGTTGTACAAGAGCGCTATTTTTGAAAAATGTTCATTGATGAACATTGATTCTAAATAGTTGCGGCGCTTTAAACACGATCAGGGGAGACCCTTGCTCATATTCTAGAAAGAAACGCGGGAGAGGTGGTGGAATTGCCAAAAAGTTGCGTGCGTATCTCAAAGCATAGTCGTCAGGTATATGAGACTGGTATCTCGGTTACCTGAGTAAGATGACGGCTAACAATAACACTATGAATGGCGTAGAAGTTTTTTGCTTTTTTAGTTGTGAAAGAAAACGTTAATGCGCCTAGTTTGATTGCTTTTGCGCTGCTTCGATCAACTACTGCTTCCATCTGAGTGACTGCTCCGCTTCAAATACTTCCATTGTCAAGCTATATGTGTTGACATAATTTGTTTAAATATTCTGATGGGGAGTGTTAACGCCCCATTTTATTCTTTGAGCTATCCGACGCGCAAGTGAATTACGCCAGCAGACTACTAACTAAACTGTAGCTCGCGTTACTCGCCTGGTCCCGAAATATATGTGATTAGAGTTTGGATTTTGTCAGTTCCAAATAGATATCTGTGTTCGGAATACACAAACCCACATACATAATGCATTCATATAGGCTTTCAGCTTTATTATGTAGAGATAAAGATTTTCTGAAGAGAGCTTCTGAGTTATTTAAAGGGTTTTTTTCTTTTTCTGTTCTTTAGAAATTACTCCTTTTTTGTAAATGCAAACGACTGTCTTCAATCGCCCTACAAAAAGCAGAGGAACCTTGTTGTGCTGCCAAACTCACACAAATTATCTTGAAGTGTTTAAGGAAGATCTGGAGTTATGGATGCTCGTGAACACTACTACACCATGATTACCGACGTTGCCCTTCGTTTGCCGTGTCAGATGAGACGAATTCTCACTGAAGTGAAGTTCGATGACAGATGGCAGCGGATTCTCTGCGAAGTGTGCCCTTTACGTAATTAGACATTATTTTTTTAGACGAGTGTTTTCAGTTGGTTTCCTACCAACATGCACCACAGCTTCGCAGGCAGAGTAAAAAGGTGTTACTGGCGATGTTCAATGGTGACAAACAGAAATACCGTGAAGTACGCGACCAGCACATGATGAGAGCACATATCGAACTCCTCAAAAAGAAATATGCACAGAACAGGTTGGGTCCAAAGAGTGGTCTTTGTTTGCAAAAGTTCTATCGTACTTTAGCAGCTTTAATCACCAGCAGTTGACTGAGATGGTCGAAATTGTGAGTGCTATCGCAGCTACTGCAAATCAACGTACAACGTTGTGGAGAGCTATTTGTGAGGAACAGGTCAATGAAAAGGTCTCTCGATTGAGTAAACTTTTTCCTAAAAAATGAATCTTTCAGCTCAACTGGCTTCTCCAGCTTGCATGTCGTGTGGCCGATGCCGTATCCTGTAGTGTAGTAGATCTGTTGGTTTTGGCAATCCGAGAAACTCCCGGACAGCAAGAAGAAAACATCTATTTGGCCGATAAGTAAGATGTTTGGTATTTCCTAGTGATTTGTTTCAGGATCTTTTTATTGGCAAAATAGACTTTTCTTTTCCACTCCATGATATGCGTTAAGTTGATGCATTCACCTGCATAGAATTTATTTCTTCAGGATTATTTCCGAAGAAGAAAACAGGTATCTTCTTATGATGCTTCTCGTGCGATATTTGATTGGTCGTGATGAAAATCGACGTTGGCTTATGCATGGACTCTTGAGATCGACAATCCAGCTGGCTAGTCGACACAACCAGGTATGATACTCATTTTTTGTATCTGTTTAAATCAAATCAGTTGAAATTCTCATGCAGCAGTGAGTTTTATTCAAAAGTGTTTGAGGTGGTACTCCTTCGTATCTTGTGGAATGACCTGTGGCCATTGGCTAGAGGTCTTGGCGATCATGGTGCTCAACTAGCTGATATCCTTGCTACCTATGCATCACGTCTGTTTAACTCAAGCGAAATGCTTGCCGTGTGTGAGAGTGAACTGGAGGCAATCAGCTTGACTGTTAACAGGTATGTCTTTCGTCCTCACTCTCACCATCCGCGCCCATTACAACAGGAGATGTGATGTCTTGAAGCTCTCTGAGACTGTTCCGCATAATATCAGGCTTTTGATATGTTTAGAATCGAAAAAGAAGGTCATGCCGGATGGTATCGCCAAATGACTGGTCTTGGATTAGGCTGGAAAACAATGCTTATGGACACTAGTCCATGTTTGGTGTGCTTCTCGAGAAAGGTGTATATCCACGATTTATAGGCTACTTCTAATATTTCTCGTTCCAGGATATGGCTGAGACGGTAAAACTGAATTCGATCAAACAAGAAGCACGATTTGCTGCAAATGCCATGATGCTGAAGTTGACGTGCCATTACGAGATCAGCAAGGTGATAATCAAGCTGACAGACGTCAAACGGAATAAAATGATTAAGTGCGTTTGTAAGCTGACTAATTTCTTCTATCTCCTGCTTATTATGCTTCTTTCAAGGCGTGTTAATCTATTCTATTGTCCAAAGTCTGTTGAATCCGCTGTTGAATTGAAAACATGTCCTGAACTTTGGCAGCGAGCCTCGAGCTGCAGCGTGAGTATCTACGTCATACACATATATTTATTACTTTATATATATATAGCGTTTTTCTGCGAAATGGTTGGAAGTTTGATCACCTTTTAACGCCATCTCAGGAAAAAAGACACAGAGGCCATTTGTTCCCGTCGCTGTGCTTACTCATAACAACACGAAATGAACAACCAACTTACCAGATTTTCACAAAAATATGCTTATGCTTACTTTGTGTTTTGCACACATACACACGTACACACATACATACACACATACATACACACATACACCTGCGCACATGCACGCATACATACACACATACGCACATGCACACATACATACACAGATTCATACACGCATACACACATACATACATACACATACACATACACGCATACACACATGCATACATGCATATACACATACACACATGCATACATACATACATACA